ATTCACTTACCTTTGCTCCGCGCGTTTCCTCTCGCCGTGTTCCCGCGCCGTTCCGGTCTTCAGGGCGGACTGTGAGAGGAGAGGAGTTCGTCACGCTGCCCCGCCTACATCCTGACAGCCAATGTTTGCCACGCTCCGCGGGATTAAAAGGTCCGCCGGGCCGTATACGGCCCGCGGGCCGTAGTTTGCCCATTGCTGGGCTAGCTGCAGAGTCCTGACTTTTGGGGCGGCCGCCCGAGAGGAGGGAGGGGAGCGGGCGCCCGGCACACAGAAGAGCCGCATTAAAATGTGTAAAGAGCCGCATGTGGCTCGTGAGCTGCGGCTTGCCGACCACTGGTATAGATGATTAACAGAGTATTTACAACATACGGGTTCACAAATTACTAAAAAACTTTTTTTTGACCTGCGTAATTTAAAACAAGTATCATGTGCCCCTTCCCTAAGCCTCCCTACCCCTTTCACACGATATGTATGGATTTCATTGAATTAAACAAAGGTAAAAATAAGAAATTTTGCCATTTGGGCATTTTGACAAATTTTTGAAAAAAATATATATATTTTAAGAGGAAAGTGATATAAAAAAAAATGATTTTTGAGGGTTGATCCTCAAATGCCGGGGGATCTTCGTGCAAAATTTGGTCATTTGGCTGATTGCCAAGTTTTGGTGATTTTTATATACCTGGCATCCTAGGCGTAGTCGGCAGGATGCCAGGTAGATATACCTCCTATTAAGAAAGGTTGTTTTGAAAAAGTAATATTTGCATATTGGTCCTCAGGCATAGGGGAACCTCTGTACAAAATATTGCCTGACAATTGTCGATCTCCACGCAAAATGGGTGGAAGCTTTCCCACTGACACACCCCTGATGGGCAGTCAGTTGCCAAGGCAATTATAAAGGCAATAGTTCCAAGATTTAGGATCCTATCATTTACAGTGATAATGGTTCACATTTTGTAAACCAAACAATACAGCATATTGGCAAATGGTATAATATTGACCTAAAACACCACTGTGTCTATCATCCACAGTCTATAGGCACTATGGAAAGACATAACGGTACAATAAAAAGTAAACTGAGAAAGCTAATGGAGGAAACTGGAAAAAAATTGGGTTTCGTGTCTACCAATAGCTTTATGGAGCATGAGAATAACCCCCACAGCAAAAGGGTTAACACCTTATGAGGTACTGTATGATAGACCATACTACATTCCACAGCTCAAGCCATTTGCTAGGGAAGATGAAGAAATGGATTGCGAGCTAGCAAGCTACATGGAGAAAATTACTGATATCTAAGGAAGTTTTTGTCTCCAAACTCTCTTACAGGTCAAGAAACTCCAACAAAGCAGGACACGCTTGTCCAACCAGGGGATTGGGTTTGGATCAAAATAATCAAGTGAAAGCATTGGTCAAATCCAAGGTGGAAAGGGCCCTATCAGGTACTATTGTCCACACCCACAACAGTCAAAATAGCAGAAAGAGTACCTTGAATACACCTTTCACATTGCAAAAGGGCAAGGAACTTAGGGACAGATTAGGGAACGCCCACGGAGTCTTGAGTGTAAGTCCGGCTACAAAGGGGGGTGACTCCAATAGGGACCACCCGTCTCAAGAAATATGAAGAAATATGGCACAATATAGGCTCATAGGGGCGGTAAAACAGCTTAGGGAAACACAAATACTAGAACTAGGAACTTTACCAAAACATGGACAGGCTGATTTTTAATAGGGTTGATGACAGTGGGAAGCATTTTAACATTAGCACAAATACTTTTGAATCTAAAACTTATGGCCCAAAACCAAGATAAAAAAATACACCAAAGAAATGTGACAAAAGGCCCAAACGATGACCTAATCATCTCCATAAACGAAGGACCCATCATAGCAGTCACATTTGACGCATGCCAAGTGGTAGAATGCCCACGCAATCGGACACTTACATATAGCAAATACGAAAAGTATATGTATGGAACTGCCACCTGTTCTTCGTGGTCTGAAGTATGGTGGACTACAGATTTAGATGATTACCTAACCTCTTCAGCTCAGTTTTCCCCCACAAAAAAGTATAGTGCATCGTTTGTATAGGATACCATCACGGGGGAATGACTATAAATCGATTGTTAATAGTCTTGAGACATGAAAAAAGGGAGGATTCTGGAACCTATAAGTTAGGTATACACATACCCCTGGGGAATGATGCAATGGGAACAATACAGATTCAAGTACTTGGGAAAGGACAAGTTGCACCTCCAGTCACCAGCATTAAAACTTTCGCCCAGACTTGTTCAAAACTAACTTTACTTACAAAGACCAGTTAAGTATAGAAACAGGGTTTGGGGATAAGAATGAGTTGATAGAATGGGTCAGATGGACAACCAAGACCAAAGGGCTGGGAAACTGTATCTCATGTGCCAACTCACGGCCTCAGCTAGCGACTGTCCCTTTCCTGACTGACGAAACAAACCTGACATGTATAATAAGGATGTTTAAGGAAAACATCACACATACTGAGTGCAAGGAGGAGCGGAAATTGTATTTAACCACTAGGATGCAGAGCATTCCTCCCTCTGTTACAGTAATCCCAGGAAATTTCACCTGCTTTGTCAACATAGAAGGTAATGGACAGCAAGTAGGAGACTTACCCCCGACCTATTTCATAAAAAATATATCAACCAGTGACCCACCTTACCAGCAGGATTAGTTTCATGACCAAACGAGTCAATTAGCTTATGTTTGGTGGCTGTGTGGGGATATGAAACTTAGGACCAAACTCCCTCCCAAGTGGAAGGGGAGCTGTGCCTTAACCTATTTGCTTTTTCCTTTTTATATGATACCTGTAGGTGATAAGATGAAGATACCACCATTGAAGAAACAATATTCTCGAATGAAGAGAGGAGCACCACAAGGATCGTTTCGACAATCGAGTCTACATCGATTCCATTGGAGTACCATGAGGAGTCCCTGATGAATTTAAAGCACAGGATCAGATTTCAGCCGGATTCACCTCCATCTTTTTGTGGATTCAACCTAACAAGAATGTTGATTGGATAAACTACATCTACTATAACCAGCAAAGGTTTGTAAAACTACACCAGAGATGCCCTTAAAGGAGTGGCCAGCCAACTGGATGCAACCTCATTGACAGCCTGGCAGAATCGTATTGCTCTCAATATGCTGTTAGCAGAGAGAGGAGGTGTATGCAAGATGTACGGAACCTTTTGTTGCACCTTCATTCCTAACAATACAGCCCCCGGTGGAAGCATAATGAAGGCCCTGCAAGGATTGCAGATGCTGTCTGAAGAACTGGCGGAAAATTCTGGAGTGGAAAACCCTCTGGCTGGACTTTTTGAGACCTGGTTTGGTAAGTGGGATGAGCTGGTAAGAAATATGGTGATCTTAATAGTAATGGGTGCTACAGTGTTGATTTTGTGAGGTTGCTATTGTATTCCCTGTGTTCGAGCACTCGAAGAATTAAAAATCTTACTCCCAACAGGCGTGTCTGAAATACTATGTCATTGTCACACTGTGTATGTGGATTAATGTTTGGTGTACATAAAAAAAGGAGTGGAGATTGGTGAAAGTAGTACAGTGACGCTCGTATCGTAGCTCCTGATATATTGGTTTACAGGGTTAATGTTAATGTACATTATTCATGGAGCTGAAAAATAGGGAAGTCACTGCAGGAGAAGCAGGGGGGAAAGTGCTGCGTGCTGTCCGTGGGCCCTGTTTAAACTATATCACGACACAGCACTCTCAGAACAAGAGAGAGTAACGGCTTTGGGGTTCACCTTAGGGTCCCCAGGAGGGAAGTAATAATACAAAATGGGACAGAAACTTACGAAGCCAGAAAACAGTTTGTTTGCTCGTGAATTGGTGGAGCAGAGAGAGAGGGGGGGACAATACACAAAAAAGTTGGGGAAGTTAAACAAACTGGGTGGAACATGTAAAAAGGAAGGAAGATTGCAGGCGGAGGATTGGAGGAAACTGTGTAAAGAGAAGAAACATGTTAAAGATGCGCCCGGAAGGCGCCACCCCCCTATGATGATGGCCCGTCCTGGAGGTGCGAGGCATGTGGAAATACAGGAAGACCCCACCCCGAGAGTCCAGATTTTTGCATACCGTGTAGTCAAAACCTCCGGATATGTAAGGGGTGTTTTAGCTAAAAATCCGGGGTGGGAGGAGATTTGCAAGGGATGTGACCGGAAGCTGACTATGCAATATCCGATGCTTCCAACTCAGTCACCTCCATTTCCGCCTCCGGCCCCGCCCCGCCCCTTCCGCCCTCATCAAAGATGGCGGTGCCCAGTGAGGCCACCGGAAGCCATGTTATCTCTGGGCCTAGCACACCGATAATGTCAGGGCTCCGGGTATGACCAGAGGTGTGTGGACTGACACAGGGAAACGCAGGCTTCAGATATGGTATAAACACATATAATTTATTTAAGACTAAACAATACATAAACGCAGTGCAAGACTAAACATAAACACAGTGCAAACAAACCAAACCAAAACCCCCAACAGATAACAAAAGATCAATACTAAGCGTAGTCGGGCAGGCCGGGTCGGTAGCAAACGGGCAGGCAAGGTACAAAGGAGCAGGCAGAGCGTAGTCAGACGGGCCGGGTCAGGAACAATCATGCAGACAAGGTACAAAGGAGCAGGCTGGAGAGTGGTCAGGAATAGCAGAGGTCAGGACAGGCGGTGTTCAATCAGAGTCAGGGATCAAGCAGGATCAGACAGGAAGCAGACAGGATGCAGGTACAGGGGCTCTTGGGAAACATACACCAAGGCCCAGATCACAAGCCTGGTCATTCCTTATATGCACCTTCTACAATCAGCCTCAGGTGTTTTGACTGACTGCAGGAGTGAGCCTCTGGTTGCTGAGAGCACCCGCTGGCCAGTCCTGGTGCTGCAACCCACAAGGCAGGTGAGTCCCACCACCAGACGTCCACGGCGACCCAATGACTACAACTCAGGGTGGGAAGAGTCTGCAATGCCACCACCTGGCTGAACAGAGATGCAAGGTTTCCAAGGACAAGTTACAATGGTTGATTGCATTTCCCAAACCACTCGTCATCTTATGCCGGATAGAGTACGGGCTATTCATAATGTCCCAATACCTCAGGGACCAAAAGCCCTGCATGCTTTCCTAGGGTTCGTTTCCTATTGTCGTTCCTGGATCCCAGAAGCCTCCATCTTGATGCAATCCCTTTATGATGCCCTGAAATCTGAACCCTTCTTCCTGACAGAAGAAGCTGTACTTGACTTCCATCGCCTGAAAAAGGCCATTTCTAGAGATGAGCGAATCGAACCGGAATTCGATACGAATTTCAGAAAATTTTCCCGATCAGCCGACAAAAGTGTCCCTGCAGAGAGCTCCGCTATTTCTGACATTTCTAAGACAGTTCCTTCACATGTACAGCGGTTGAAACATTGTATCTATTAGTTTTCCATTTAGGATACAGATGTTTCAACCGCTGTACATGTGAAGGAGCTGTCAGAGAACTGTCAGAAATAGAGGAACTCTGCACATACACTTTTTGCCCGGTTTGGAATTCTTATTTTCATCCTACTTCTTCTTCTTCTTCATTCTCATCCTCATCCTCTTCTTCTTCTGAGGATGAGGATGAAGAAGAAGAAGAAGAAGTAGGATGAAAATAAGATTAATTCCAAGCCGGCAAAAAGTGTATCTGCAGCGCTCCTCTAAGTGTATTTGCAGAATGTCATTTATGGAAACAAATAGATACAATGTTTCAACCGCTGTATGGAGTGAGTGTCCCAGAACTGTTAGAAATAGTCTATTTCTGACAGTTCTATGACATTCCCTTCATACAGCGTTGAAACCGCTGTATGGAGTGAATGTCCCAGAACTGTCAGAAATAGTCTATTTCTGACAGTTCTAGGACATTCACTCCATACAGCGGTTGAAACATTGTATCTATTTTTTTCCATAAATGACATTCTGCAGATACACTTAGAGGAGCTCTGCAGATACACTTTTTGCCGGCTTGGAATTATTCATGAGGATGAAGAAGAAGAAGAAGAAGAAGAAGTAGGATGAAAATAAGATTAATTCCAAGCCGGCAAAAAGTGTATCTGCAGCGCTCCTCTAAGTGTATTTGCAGAATGTCATTTATGGAAAAAAATAGATACAATGTTTTCAACCGCTGTATGGAGTGAGTGTCCCAGAACTGTCAGAAATAGACTATTTCTGACAGTTCTGGGACACTCACTGCATACAGCTGTTGAAACATTGTATCTATTTGTTTCCATAAATGGATCCATTTATGGAAACAAATAGATACAATGTTTCAACCGCTGTATGGAGTGAGTGTCCCCAGAACTGTTAGAAATAGTCTATTTCTGACAGTTCTATGACATTCCCTCCATACAGCGGTTGAAACCGCTGTATGGAGTGAATGTCCCAGAACTGTCAGAAATAGTCTATTTCTGACAGTTCTGGGACATTCACTCCATACAGCGGTTGAAACATTGTATCTATTTTTTTCCATAAAATGACATTCTGCAGATACACTTAGAGGAGCTCTGCAGATACACTTTTTGCCGGCTTGGAATTATTCTTATTTTCATCCTACTTCTTCTTCTTCTTCTTCTTCTCATCCTCATCCTCATCCTCTTCTCTTCTTCTTCTTCTGAGGATGAGGATGAAGAAGAAGAAGAAGTAGGATGAAAATAAGATTAATTCCAAGCCGGCAAAAAGTGTATCTGCAGCGCTCCTCTAAGTGTATTTGCAGAATGTCATTTATGGAAAAAAATATAGATACAATGTTTCAACCGCTGTATGGAGGGAATGTCATAGAACTGTCAGAAATAGACTATTTCTGACAGTTCTGGGACACTCACTCCATACAGCGGTTGAAACATTGTATCTATTTGTTTCCATAAATGGATCCATTTATGGAAACAAATAGATACAATGTTTCAACCGCTGTATGGAGTGAGTGTCCCAGAACTGTTAGAAATAGTCTATTTCTGACAGTTCTATGACATTTCCTCCATACAGCGGTTGAAACCGCTGTATGGAGTGAATGTCCCAGAACTGTCAGAAATAGTCTATTTCTGACAGTTCTGGGACATTCACTCCATACAGCGGTTGAAACATTGTATCTATTTTTTTCCATAAATGACATTCTGCAGATACACTTAGAGGAGCTCTGCAGATACACTTTTTGCCGGCTTGGAATTATTCTTATTTTCATCCTACTTCTTCTTCTTCTTCATCCTCATCCTCTTCTTCTTATGAGGATGAGGATGAAGAAAGAAGAAGAAGAAGAAGAAGTAGGATGAAAATAAGATTAATTCCAAGCCGGCAAAAAGTGTATCTGCAGCGCTCCTCTAAGTGTATTTGCAGAATGTCATTTATGGAAAAAAAATAGATACAATGTTTCAACCGCTGTATGGAGTGAGTGTCCCAGAACTGTCAGAAATAGACTATTTCTGACAGTTCTGGGACACTCACTCCATACAGCGGTTGAAACATTGTATCTATTTGTTTTCCATAAATGGATCCATTTATGGAAACAAATAGATACAATGTTTCAACCGCTGTATGGAGTGAGTGTCCCAGAACTGTTAGAAATAGTCTATTTCTGACAGTTCTATGACATTCCCTCCATACAGCGGTTGAAACCGCTGTATGGAGTGAATGTCCCAGAACTGTCAGAAATAGTCTATTTCTGACAGTTCTGGGACATTCACTCCATACAGCGGTTGAAACATTGTATCTATTTTTTTCCATAAATGACATTCTGCAGATACACTTAGAGGAGCTTTGCAGATACACTTTTTGCCGGCTTGGAATTATTCTTATTTTCATCCTACTTCTTCTTCTTCTTCTTCTTCATCATCCTCTTCTTCTTCTTCTGAGGATGAGGAGAAGAAGAAGAAGAAAAAGTAGGATGAAAATAAGATTAATTATTTATGGAAACAAATAGATACAATGTTTCAACCGCTGTATGGATGAAATGTCCCAGAACTGTCAGAAATAGACTATTTCTGACAGTTCTGGGACACTCACTCCATACAGCGGTTGAAACATTGTATCTATTTGTTTCCATAAATGGATCCATTTATGGAAACAAATAGATACAATGTTTTCAACCGCTGTATGGAGTGAGTGTCCCAACTGTCAGAAATAGTCTATTTCTGACAGTTCTGGGACACTCACTCCATACAGCGGTTGAAACATTGTATCTATTTGTTTCCATAAATGGATCCATTTATGGAAACAAATAGATACAATGTTTCAACCGCTGTATGGAGTGAGTGTCCCAGAACTGTCAGAAATAGTCTATTTCTGACAGTTCTATGACATTCCCTCCATACAGCGGTTGAAACCGCTGTATGGAGTGAATGTCCCAGAACTGTCAGAAATAGTCTATTTCTGACAGTTCTGGGACACTCACTCCATACAGCGGTTGAAACATTGTATCTATTTGTTCCCAAAATGGATCCATTTATGGAAACAAATAGATACAATGTTTTCAACCGCTGTATGGAGTGAATGTCCCAGAACTGTCAGAAATAGTCTATTTATGACAGTTCTATGACATTCCCTCCATACAGCGGTTGAAACCCGCTGTATGGAGTGTCCCCAGAACTGTCAGAAAATAGACAGAAACTGTCACAGAACTGTCCTTCTTCTCATCCTTCTCCTTCTTCTCATCCTTCTTCTCATCCTTCTTCTCATCTCATCCTTCTTCTCATCCTTCTCATCCTTCTCCTTCTTCTCATCCTTCTCCTTCTTCCTTCATCCTTCTTCTTCCTTCTCATCTTCTCATCTTCTTCTCATCCTTCTCCTTCTTCTCATCCTTCTCCTTCTCCTTCTCTTCTTCTCCTTCTCCTTCTCTTCTTCCCTTCTCCTTCTTCTCATCCTTCTCTCTCCTTCTTCTCATCCTTCTCCTTCTTCTCTTCTTCTCATCCTTCTTCTTTCTCCTTCTTCTCATCCTTCTCCTTCTCCTTCTCTCATCTTCTCATCCTTCTCCTTCTCCTTCTTCTCATCCTTCTCCTTCTGCTTCTCCTTCTCCTTCTTCTCATCCTTCTCCTTCTTCTCATCCTTCTCCTTCTTCTCATCCTTCTCCTTCTCCTTCTTCTCATCCTTCTCCTTCTTCTCATCCTTCTTCTCATCCTTCTCCTTCTTCTCATCCTTCTCCTTCTTCTCATCCTTCTCCTTCTTCTCATCCTTCTCCTTCTCCTTCTTCTCATCCTTCTCCTTCTCCTTCTTCTCATCCTTCTCCTTCTCCTTCTTCTCATCCTTCTCCTTCTCCATCTTCTCATCCTTCTCCTTCTCCCTTCTTCTCATCCTTCTCCTTCTCCTTCTCCTTCTCCTTCTTCTCATCCTTCTCCTTCTTCTCATCCTTCTCCTTCTCCTTCTTCTCATCCTTCTCCTTCTCCATCTTCTCATCCTTCTCCTTCTCCTTCTTCTCATCCTTCTCCTTCTCCTTCTCCTTCTCTCATCCTTCTCCTCTTCTCATCCTTCTCCTTCTTCTCCTTCTCATCCTTCTCCTTCTTCTCATCCTTCTCCTTCTCCTTCCTCATCTCCAAGGGCATTTAAATTAAAGGTACAGTGTTCTGCACTAATTTAAAGGCTCTCTGAAGCCTAGAAACCCTTTTTATAAGTCATCTTCGTAGCGAATAAATTCGCATCGAATCGAATTTCTTCCTGGAATTCGCCGAATCAGCCGAATCGAATTTTTGAATACTTCGCTCATCTCTAGCCATTTCCACTGCACCTTCACTAGGTCTACTAGATTATGATGAGCCCTTCAAAACTTTTGTGGCTGAGAGGCAGGGTCATGCAACAGGAGTTCTGGCACAACGCCATGGGGTTCGCCTCCGGCCTCTGGGTTATTACTCCTGCAGGCTAGACCCGGTTGCACGGGGTGGTCCCTCCTGTCTGAGGGCTGTCTTTGCTGCTCATCTTCTCCTGGATAAGACGGCAGACTTGGTCCTAGGACACCCCCTCACATTTTGGCCCCCCATGACATTACCGCAATACTGAACCAAACCCAACCAAAATATCTATCTGCTGCCAGGCATCTGCGACTACAAGGCTCCCTCCTCCTGCCTGATCATATTACCCTGGTCAGATGCACACAGATAAAC